GGGGGGGAGAGAAGGGGTCCGCCCACCTGTACGTGTCCTGTTCGATGTCCAGCAGGTCATAGGCCATGGCCTGGAATGTAAGCTCATGCAGCAGTGGGGACACAGGGTCCGCTGCCCGGTCCAAGATTAGGAGCTGTGAGCGGGTTTTTTCAGGGCCCTGGGGGAGGAGCCGGTGGCAGGGATGAGGACGCTGGCCCCGTCCTTGGCTGAGGCTCACCCACACTTCCCCAGCAGGCCCCCTCACCTCGCCCAGACTGGGAGTGTCTGCCTTGAAGGCATTCAGCTTGGCCAGGACGGCGTGGGCCAGCTGGGCTGTGTCCTCTGGGCCCCTGGGGGGGGGGGGGTGGCAGACATGGGGGCCTGGGTTTGGGAAGGGCGGGGCACACGCTGCAGGTCAACAATGGGGTGAGGGAAGGGAGTCGGGATCAGGCTGAGGGCCAGGGCAGGGGTCAAAAGTAAGGTTCAAGGCTGCATGCGGGCTGGGGGCAGGGTCGGGGGTGGCATCGGGCTGGGGTCCCCACTTGCGGTAGCGGATGGCCGGGTACTCCTGCAGCGTGGCGCACAGCGTGGCAATCTGCTGGGCCAGGGCCTCGATCTGCCGTGCCCGCTCACCCACGCGGAAGGGGCAGTAGAGGTTGTAGGTGCTGTGGGGGGCGTCCAGGGAGAACACCTGCGAGGGAACGGGAGCCAGGGCGCCCCTGTGGGTGGACACCTGGCCGGCGAGCAGCCTCCCGCCCCGCAGCTCCCTGCGGCTTCGGCTTCCCTGCTCTGCTAATGGTGGGGGGTGGCGCCAGGCACGCAGGGCGCTTCTAACGCCTGCAGGAGGTGGAGAAATAGGCAGCCCCTCCCCTGTGGGCAGGTAGGTCCCCTGGATTCGCCTGGGCTATACCTGGGCCTCATAGGGGAGGAAGGCCAGGTAGATCTCCTTCAGCGTCTTCACCACCTTTGCCAGACGGGAGCGGCCCAGCTCACTGAACAGGGGCTCCGGGCAGGCTGGGGTGAGCAAGAGGGGGCGTCAGGCCAGAGCGGCCTCCACGCCCTGACCCCCCAGCCTGCTGCACTCACTGTCGGTGAAGAAGACGTGTGCTGCTTTGTAGGTGAACGTCGGGGTCCCCCGGAAGTCTGCTATCAGGGCCTGCACTGACTGGGGAAGGCAGAACACTGTCCAAGCCTGGCTCTGCCCTCCAGACCCCTCCCCCGGCTCCCCCCCCAGCCACTGCCTGTCCCCCAACATATGCACACATGCACAGAGGCATGTGCGCGCGCGCACACACACACACACACATACACACGCTAGCTCACATAGGCACCTTCTCTGTGGGGCTGAGCAAATAAATGGCCTCCAAACTGGGAATGGGTTCTCGCCGTTTGTTAATGTCTTCGACAACTAGTAGGAACAGAGAAAGGGACATACATACGTAGGTGGCATTGGGGCCAGGGCTCACACGGAGCATCTGGGACTCAGGAGAGTGGGACCCTTGGGCGAGAGGGCAGGGGGAGCTGTACTCCCTCGGGCACTTAAGGGGGTGGTACCTGCCCATGGGTCACACAGCTGAGTTACTGGGCAGGGTTGTGCACCTTTCAGTTCATGGCCATGCTCCCTGGGGGTCCCCCATAGAAAGTTACACCCTCCAGGGGGCTCACACTGAGTTCACCCTTGGGGTCCTACATGGGGTTCTACGCACAGGGGTTGCAAAGTCAGGGAGGCAGACCCCTTAGGAATCGCAACTGGGGAGCCCTGCACTGGGTGGGGAGGGGGTCTGCCTGCCAGAGGCGGCCACGCTCAGGAAAGGGAAGGGCTGTTAGGGGTAGGGGGCTGCACACCTGGGAGCTCGGGACAATTTTAGGAGATCCAAGACTTAGGGCCCATCTGGGCGGCACGGGGTGGGGGTGTCCACTCACTAGTAATGCCCTCGGCCAGGAAGTCTGACATCTTGCAGCAAGAGGACAAAATGCGCATGCTCGGGTGGTCCATGATGAGAACCTGTCAGGATAGATGGACAGAGGGGCTGACGGACAGAGGAGCGGGCAGGAGAGGCTGCCACCGCCCCCGAGGTGGGGCTGGAGTGGTGTGAGCAGGACTGACCGCTGCAAGAGCTGGCTGGCTGGGAGGACCCAGGACCCCCCACCCGACGCCACCCTGTCCCAGGACCCCGCACTGGACCCCACTCCATGGACCAGCAGCCTCCTCCAGGAGTTCTTGTGGGTCCCCCATTCAGCCCCCCACACATGGGTCAGGACAAGGCATTCTGCCAACCGCGTACCTTCCACTCCCCATCCTTTTTGACACTCCGGATAACTCCGTTCAGAATTTCTGCAGGGGAGGTAGGGTGGGCTCAGGACGCTGGATTCTCTGGCCTCGCCCCGCCCGCAAGCCTTCTGGGCAGCAGGGCTGGGCCTCCATTTTCACCACCCCAGGTGTCACCCCCAATTTACAGCCAGGGAAACATGTGAAGCACTCTCAGCCCTAAGTGGCTAAGTGGCCACTCGATAAATATGCGTCAGATGAACAAATAACTGAGAAGCCAGGGCTCACATACAGGTCTACCTCCCTCCAGAGCAGGGATCTCGCCTCCCCATCGGCAACCTCGAGTTCTCCAGCCAGACCCCCACTCTCCCTCCATCAGTGTCCCTGAAGAACGCCAGGCTCCCTGCTCGGAGGCGGGCCTAGCTGCGATCATCCCATCGCCCCACCTGCAGCCTCAGCTTCCTCATCTGTAAAATGGGACCAGTGGTTTCCCCTCTCCGCATTAACCCCTGTGTAGAAGGCTCCGTTTTTGGTTGCGGTACTGGGGTTTGAGTCTGCCCTGCCCAGCGAGTGGGGGGGGGGGGTGGACGGGGAGGAAGAGGGAGGAGGGACTAGGCAGCCCTGCCTGCCCAGTGTCTTGTCCACTGTTATCAGGCCCCACAGGGCGGAAGGAGCAGGAAGGAGGTGCTGAAGCCGGAACTACCCGAGGTGGGGGAGGGGACAACCTCCACCCCTCTCCCAAGAGCCGGGACCTACGCGGCCCAGTCGCCCAAGTCCTCACGCTGCCTGAGGATCGTGGGGGACCCCGCAAGAAGGAAGGCGTCCCCTGGGCCTGGATATAGGCCTGACCACATACCCTGAGCTCTCACACCACCTGGGGTCGTTGACCAGCGCACCCAGCCCGGCCCCAGTCCGGGAGGGCAGCCCCCCGGACTTTGCCAAGCGCAGAGACGCGGCAGTCTGGGCGTCCAGCGGTGCCAGTCTCTGCTGGCACCCTAGGGGTCCAGGAATGCGAGCCCTAGTGCCTGTCTACGCTACCCCTAGCCCGATCTCCTTGGGTCCCCGGAGTCCAGCCTCTCAACTTTGTTCCCCTCCGGCACGGGAGAGCCGGGACGCCCAGCAAGGCCAAGTTCCCGCCCGCCCCCTCGAGGATCAGGTGCTCGACGCCCAGCCCGGCCGCCCGGCCCCCGCAGCCTGAGCCCCAGGGTCCGTGCACCCCTGGCCCCCGGCCCCCAGCCCCCAGCAGACGCACTCACTTTCCCCCACCACCGCCTTCAGCCCCGAGGGCGCCATCTTCCCCCAGGGGCGCCACCGCCGCTTCCGGGTCTGTCCCAAGGTGGGGGCGTGGCCCCGCGCGTCACCCACGTGGACCCCGCCCTGCTGGGCCGGCCCCGCCCCTCTTCGGTTCTCGACGAGGAAGGTGTGTACCTTGCGGAGCCGGCAGGTGTGTCACGCAGACGAGTGTGAAGGCGCTAGAGGGGGCACACCCCGACGACACACACAGACATGAGCTCAGACGCACCTTCCTGGCTTGTGTGCAGCGAGAGAACGGGATGGCAGGGGCGCAGACGCAGCCCCCGGCCTGCCAGAAGTTTCTCCGTGGTTGACGGATGCGCTTGCCCCTTCCGGCGCCGCAGGGCCATAAGACTGTGACCCACTTACCTTCCATTTCCCGGAGAGCAGCAGCAGCAGGCTGTCAGGAGGAGGCCTGGACGGAGGCTTGAGGCTAAGCCAGCACCTACTGTGTGCCAAGGACCCATGCCAGATTCTCACCCAGTCTCCTCAGAAACCCTGACGGGGAGTGACGGGGACAGCAGGACCCTTGTCCAAGGCCACATGATGGACAGGGCCGCTGGGAACTGAACGCTAGGACTCTGTCCCAGGAGGGCTACCTGTCATCGAGCCTCGGCCTCACCAGGTGCACACACCCACCTAGGCTGATCATCACATTGGTCTGCTGATGACGTCGTGGGTTTGGAGGCAAGCTCAACCCCCTGCACACTTACACACACACTCGATTCGCATGTGATTGAAATTTCACGGACTGCTCCTGGCTGTGCGCCAGCAAAGGGCGGCCACCTTGTCACATAAAGACCGCAGGCAGCAGCACCCAGACAAAAGAGGTCTCGGATTTCAAGCGTGATACACGTGTGTGAATGCCAAGTCCAGAACTGAGTCCTTCGTTTGGCCATGTGTATTAAGGGTTCGTCTGGCTCCTGGACCTTTGTCACTTACATGGGAAAGGCAACAGTGAATGAGCCTCGGGTCTGCCATGTGGCACTTAAAGTTGACTGGAAGGGGTAGAGAAAGTAATTCTGCTCTAAGGGAAATAAGAGCAATGTGATAGCAAGTGCCACGTAGTGGTGGAGTGAGAAGCAGGGGATGTGTCCTGAGGAGCAGAGGGAGGGAGGTGAGCTTGGAGGGGCCGCAGTGGCTCGACTTGTGTGGGACAAGGTAGGACTAAGCCAGTCTGATTGCCTGGGATTGAGAGGTTCCCCAGACACAGGGCTTCCAGCACTAAAACTGGGACAGTCTCGGGCAAACCAGGATGGCGGGCTACTCTAGGTGGGACCTTGGGGTTTGCTTTCATTTTTTTCCCCTCCCTCTGTTCCTCCCTTCCCTGTTCTCTTTTTCTTTCTTTCAAAGCTTTATTGAGCGATCATTCACCTGCCACACACTCTACTCACTGAGACTGTATAACTGAATGCCCGTAGCATGCTCAGAGACGTGCATCCATCGCCAATTTTAGGACATTCCAGTACTCCGAGGTGTTTGAGTTTTCTCCTAAGAACAACGGAGGCCAAGGTAGAGTTCTGAGCAGGGGAAAGAGGGGTTCCTGCAGCTCCGGAGGGGAAAGACGGATTGCAGGGGCAAAGGGAGACCGGGAGAGCCCCCCATCCGCCTGCCTCTCAGCCTGTCCCCTGAGGGTGGAAGTCTGCAGGGCCCACCACCCCCTACTATATCCTGTGAAGGGGATCAGGGTGTTTATGGGCTTCATGGTGTCCTGTCCACCCTCCCCCACCCAAAAAGGTTGAAGCCCTAACCTCTAGTTCCTCAGATCGTGACCTTATTTGGAAATGGAGTCGTTGCAGATGCAGTTAGTTAAGAGGCCACGCTGCGTGCAGTAGGGTGGGCCTTTGTGCAATGTGACTGGTGTCGGTGTCTTATGACAGCTTTGTGCAGACAAGGACACAGAGGAATGCCATGTGATGACAGAGGCAGAGTTTGAAGTCCTGCAGCTCCCAGCCTGCTAACACCAAGGGCTGCCTGCGGCCACCAGAACCCAGGGAGAGGAAAGGAAGGACCCTCCCCCTCCCCCCCAGGTTTCAGGAGCATGGCGCTGTCACACCTCAACTTCAGGCTCTGGTCTCCAGAACTGTGTGACGATGTCTGTTGCTCTCGGCCACCCAGTTTGTGCCTTTGTCAAGGCGGCTCCGGGAGACCAGTACCCCCCGCGGAGGAGCAGGGCATCCTGTTGGCATCGAGGACCTGGGGCTATGCAGGGGGGTAGATGTGGGCCCTGGGTGTGTGTGTGGGGGGGGTGCTGCCTGGGGAGGAGGTCCAAGTTTTGCGCTTGTGTGGGGACAGTGCGGCCCATTTATTCCGAGAAGAAATTTTAACTGGTTTCCAGAAAGGCGTCTTGGGAAGGGGATGGGTGCTGGTGGGAACTCCCCCTGGCATCCTCTCCTGGGCACTGAAAGAAAGCCCTAGCTGCTTGGGGGAGGGGGCAGGGACTTTCCTCTTTGCCTCCTGTCTCCAGGCACTGAGATGACAGATCACAGGAGATAGCTCAACCTGACACTGGGGACAGGACAGGAAATCCCAGACCTTCTTGTCTTGGGGGCCTATGGAGGGCACCTGGACCCAGGGACAGTGATGGGAGGGCACCTGGACCCAGGGACAGTGACGGGAAGGTGTGGCCTGGCGACTTCTCAGTGGTCCTCAGGTCCAGCCTCTTCCCCGAGCACCTGCAGATGACATCCACCCCTCCAGCAGGCTGGGACCATCCTGTGCTGCTTCCTGCTGGGGGGCTACAACCCCCCCCTCAGCTACCGGGGCGGCCTGTTCTCTCCCGGTGGGGGCAGCCAGCCCTCGCTCCCCACCATGGGGACGCTGCTCTGACTTGCTGCTGAGCCCCACCCACAAGTCCCCGAAGCCCAGAGAGTCCTGCTGGGCAAGGTCCAAAGCCAGGTCCCCCTGCCACCTCCCCCCCTCCCCCCGCCCGGCAGCACGGTCTTCCTCTTTCAAAAACAATGATCTGGATCCTCTTTATGGGGCTTAAGCTCAGGTGGGAGCAGATGGGACATGAGCTGGGGATTTGGGGCTGGGTATCCGCTCCCCCCATGTCACAGTCTTTTAAAAAGCCTTCTCTGGCACAAGGCCGGGTTAGAGGCCAGCGGAGAGGTGGACCCGGGAGAGGGGAGCAGGGACCATGATGGACCAGGAAGAGAAGGTGGATGGGAGCTCAGGCCCCGGCGTCAAGGTAAGCACACCCCCACAGCCCCCCAACTCAAGGGCCTGTGAATGACAAGACAAATTCGTTTGTAGGCCACCTAATTAGCAGGCAGGTCTCTTGGGACCCCTGACCCAGTTGCGCGGCCTGAGGAAGTGCTGGTGGGCACGAGGGTCCAAGTGCCTAACCCGGCCCCAGGGCAGGGGTCAGGGCTCTCAGTGCTGACCCCTGTGAGGTGAGGGAATATAGGTTTGGGGGCAGCCCCCCGTATGTTTCCCTGGCCCGCGTCCCAGCCCCCAGGCCACCCTGCCGCCAGGCCCCAATTTAGGACGTCAGGATGCTGGCACCCGCAGCCTCTCCCTGGAGGCAGCACCACGTGAAGGGGCCCCGCTGGCTGGGCCCCTGGGGCGGGGGCCAGGATCGGGGAGGAGGTTCAGGTCTCATTCTGAGCAGCTCCGCAGAGCAGCACATCAGCCGGGACCATGGTGAGAGCCGGGGAGGGGAGGAAGGGCTTCCCAGCTGAGAGGCTGGCTGGACTGAGTGTGTCTGTCCCCTAGGCTGGCTCTCCAGACCAGGAGGGCTTCTTCAACCTGCTGACCCACGTGCAGGGCGACCGGATGGAGGAGCAGCGGTGCTCCCTGCAGGCAGGGCCGGGGCCGACCTCCGAGAGCCGTGAGAGCGGGCAGGGGGGGTGCATGCAAGCGGCGTGATGTCTGGGAGGCATGAACAGGGCAGGGCGTAGGGGTACCGGGAAGTGGCCATCCGGGGGGGGGGGATGCTGTGGCCAAGAATCTGAGACAGTGAGCACCTGGGAACCCAGGGCAAGGGATGGGAGGGGGAGACACGTTTCCTAGAGAGCACGAGCGAGGGCGAAGAGGCGGGTTGGGGGCTTCAGCTGGGCTGCGCCCCCTGGAGTCTGTGTACACCTTCATCCCCACATGCCCCTGCTCAACACAGAGAGTGGCCCTGCACCCGAGATGGACAGTCTCATGGACATGCTGGCCAGTACCCAGGGCCGCCGTATGGATGACCAGCGGGTGACAATCAGCGCCCTGCCTGGCTTCCAGCCCATAGGCCCCAAGGTAGGTGACCTTCTGCTGGGGCTGAGCCGAGCACCCCCCCACACACACCCAGGAGGGAATGGGGTCTCACCCTCCCCTACCCATGACTTGCCCCCTAGGGTTGAGTGCCTGGTAAGAGTGCCACCCTGTGTCCCTGCCAGTCACAGGACCCTGGCCAATCCAATCCCCAACTTCAGGTGGGAGGACAAAGGCTCTGGAGGGGCCCAAGGTCAGGCAGGGGGCATGCTAACGTCAGCCACGGCCGGAACTCATGGCTCCTGCCTCCAGGTCTCGGTTTCTGGGAGGAGAACGAACAGCCCCCCTCCCTGGCGAAGTTCCCTCCAAGGAAGAGGGCACATGGGCTTATACCGAGGACACATGCATCCATACGCTCATGTGTGTCTATGACACACAAAATCACGGTAGCCCAGATTCTGATCAAGACCCCAAATATTATCCTAAGACCCAAATACCATCCTAAGTGTTGAGTAACTAAGGTGGGGGATGGGGGCGCCTGGGTGGTTCAGTCCTTTAAGCCCCCAACTCTTTTTTTTTTTTTTTTTTAATGTTTATTTATTTTTGAGAGAGACAGAGCATGAGCTGGGGAGGGGCAGAGAGAAAGGGAGACATAGAATCTGCACTTGATCTTAGCCAAAAGGCCGAGAAGTGATACGGGGAGACACAGAATCTGAAGCAGGCTCTAGGCTCTGAGCTGTTGGCACAGAGCCTGATGTGTGGCTCAAACTCATGAACTGTGAGATCATGACCTGAGCCGAAGTCGGATGCTTAGCCAACTGAGCCACCCAGGCGCTCCCTAAATGCCTGACTCTTGATTTCCAACTCTTGATTTCAGCCCAGGTCATGATCTCATGGTGATGAGATCAAGCCCCATGTTGAGCTCTGCACTGGGCACGGGAGCCTGCTTAAGATTCTCCCTCTCCCTCTCTCACATGCACGTTTTTTTTAAAAGTCAAAATAAAAAAGGGGGGTGCCTAGGTGACTCAGTTGGTTAGGCGTCTGACTCAATTTCGGCTCGGGTCATATAATCTTTTTTTTTTTAATTAAAAAAAATCATTGACAGACAGCGAGAGAGCAAGCAGGGGAGGGGCAGAGAGAGAAGGAGACACAGAATCCGAAGCAGCTCCAGGCTCTGAGCTTTCAGGACAGATCATGATGCCGGGCTCAAACCCACGAACCGCAGATCATGACCTGAGCCGAAGTCGGATGCTTAACTGAGTCCCCCAGGCTCCCCTCAGGTCATATAATCTTGCGGTTCATGGGTTCGAGCCCCGAATCAGCTTCTGCACTGATGGTGTAGACCTGCTTGGGAGTCTCTCTCTCCCTGACTCCTCTCTCTGCCCCTCCCCAATTGCACTGTCTTTCTTTTAAAATAAATAAATAAACCTGAAAACATATAAAAGTTAAAAAAAAAAAATCTAGGGGACGGTAGCGCCAAATGGCAGGAGGCGAGAGACACGCGCATCCTCCCCAGTGTTTGTGTCACCTCCGGCTCACACTGCCCCTCCTCCCTCCCTCTTGCTGACCCTTCTTCATCCCCAGGACGGAGTGCAGAAACGAGCGGGGACGCTCAGCCCCCAACCCCTCCTCACCCCCCAAGATCCGACTGCTCTCAGCTTCCGCCGGAACAGCAGCCCCCAGCCCCAGACCCAAGCCCCCTGAGGGCCTGAACCATCCTCTGCGCTGCTTGGCCCCTGAAGGCAGACAATAAAACACTTCCTCGAGAAACAAGGAACCGTGTGTGTGTGTTATTTCGTGAGCTGAGGGGGGGCGGCTAGGACTCAGGGGCTCTGCTGGGCTGCACGAAGAAGCTTCTCCTCCCGCTGCTTCCGTATCCTCTCCTTGAATTCTTCTAGCTCCAGGCGCTGGGGGTGGAACAGGAAGGAAGGGGGAGGAGGGCACAAACACCCCTCAGGGGCCTGGACCCCCTTCCCACCACCCTGCCTGCCCCGTACTCCCCCCAGGCCACAGCTTCAGAGTTCAGCATCTACACTGGTAGCCCTGTGCCAGATACAACTAGGGTCCAAGTGAGATCAGCTTCATCCTTCGGGAAGAGGGCAGAAAGGACACCCTATGCCCGTCTGCTCTATTCCTCTTCTGCATGACGGAGGGCAACATTTGCACTCGAACCCATTATGGTCACGGGGACCCAGGCACCTCCATCCCTTCAGGGGGCAGAAGAGCAAGTTCCTTACCTGGTCCTCTTTCTCAGGTGGCCACAGCTCCCTCTGTGGGGACAAAGTAGCATGAGCCAGGGGATTCCTGGGCCCCCCACCCAGGGCAGTGTCGGCTCGTGGAAGGCGGACAGTGCTCCCTAGCGAGGGGGGGGGGGTGCCCACGCTCTCCCCCACCCCCCGGAATGAACCCGTGGAGGCTCTCCCTATGCCCACCTTGCGCTGTATGACATAGTCCTCAAACCACTCGGCCTGATTGGCAATCCAGAACATGGCCACGGGGAAGGTGAGGTAGAGTGTCATCTAGAAGGGCAGGGGGGAAATGAACACAGCCAGGGATTAAATCCCTCCCGCAGCGGGCAGGGGTTGCTCAGAGCCTGGAGGGCAATCCTCCCGCAGAGCCAGGAGTGCCTCCTCAGGAGCCCCAAGGACCCCAGAACGCCCATCAAGGGTAGAGAAGCCGCACACCTTAAAGCCCAGGCCCCTAATAATAGTTTAAGAGACCTCGAAGCCCCCTCCGAGTCTGGGAGATCCACTTCAGAGAAAGACACATAAACGCACACGCACCCGACTCGGAGTACAAAGTCTCGTACCACAATCAAAGGCATCTATTTGCCTGGGACCTCACTGCCCACCCGTTCGTCGGATCCCTGAAATACCTCCCAACCCAGGAGGCCTCACCATTTACAGTCTATTCCGCTGAATAGGCGTTTCCCTATCAGACACACATACGCCACCTGGAGCCCCATGAGCGTCCCCAGCGTCTGGAGCCTTCCTTCTTGGAACTCCTTCCCCAGATCACTCCCTTCAAAGGCCCTTCCTCCCACCAGCCCTCCCAGTGCCCCCTAACCGGCGCCCCCTCCTCTAGGCTTCCATCCCTAAAGACCCCTCTCAAAACTCAGACGCTGTCTCCTCAGATTTCCTACTCTCTTGGAATCCCCCCTTTTCAGAGCCTCCCCTCAGATCCGGGAAGAAGCCAGCCGCCCACCGGCTCCAAAGCTCACTGACCCGAAACACCTCCAGCTTCACCCCCATGTCGCTTCTCCTAGGCTACAAAGCCGCTTCCGCCCGAAGTCAACCCTCCAGCAAGACGGCAGCTCGTTGGGGGTTCGCGGGCTCCGCTACTGAATCTGAGTGGCCGAAAAGTTCCTACATGACGTCATCTTCGGGCGCCTCTTCTCTGCTTCCGGTCCCTGGCGCCGTCTACGCTAAAGTCAACAAACGGCGTCCGCGCGCTCGGGAAAGGTTGAACCAATAGGAAATAGGTCTGGCCCTGAAGGGCGGGCCTTCGGCTGGAGACGTCATTATAGCGCGACTACTGCCCGTCCCCGGAGAGCCCGGAAGATGGTGGTGATGGCGCGTCTTTCCCGGCCGGATCGGCCGGACCTTGTTTTCGTGAGTCCGCGGCGGGGCCGGGGGTGGCCCGTGTGGGAGCACCCGGGCTTGGATACTTCAGGGGTTCGGGGCATGGCCGTCTGGAGTGTCTGGGCCAAAAGTCTGTCTACCCGAGGACAGGACATACGGACCAGGCTGGCCAGGAGCAAATGTCTGGAAGTGCAGTCCAAGTGGTCTGAGTTAAGAGTTGCAGTCGAGGTCAGGTCCTTGGGTGGAAATAGGAGCGCGCGGGGAGGGGGAAGGGGAATCGCACAGCGGAATCTTGTAGAAGTCTGGAGTCTGAAGGAGAGGCGTTGCGACCAGGCCAGGGCTCCGGTTTCTGCGGAAAAGTTTTGGTGTTCTACGTAACGGCCTAGGTCAGTCCCTCAGCGTTATAGTTTCTGCAGTGAAGGTTTGTTGTCTGGAGTAGAACTGTGGACTCAACTGTGGAGCTGGTCAGGCAGTGGCCAGTGGGATTCTGAAGAGTCCCAAGACTTGGTATTTGGAGCGCGGGCATAGGACCTTTCCTTGCAGTTTGTAGGTATTGGGGGGATTTTTTTCTTCTCTCTCTCCCCTCCCCTTCCTCCTTCCTTTCTTCACACGAATTAAAGATTTGTGTAAACACTGCATGAAGTAAGTGTGTTGGCACTGTTTCTCAACAGCATTTGCTCCCTTCATGTCTCTGTGTCACGTTTTGGTAATCTCACAATATTTCGAACTTTTTCACGACTTTTGTTTTGGGGCGCCAGGAGCCACACTCCTATAAAACCGTTAAGTTCATAATAGTTGTGTGTGTTCAGACTGCTTCACCGGCTATTGCCCGTCTCTGGCCTTGGGCCTCCCTACTCCCTGAGACATAACCACTTTGAAATTAATAACCTTAGGGGCACCTGGGTGGCTCAGTTGGTGCATCCTCCGACTTCGATTCAGGTCATGATCCCACGGTTCATGGGTTCGAGCCCTGCATCGGGTTCTGTGCTGACAGCTAGCTCAGAGCCTGGGGCCTGTTTCAGATTCTGTGTCTCCCTCTCTCTCTGACCCTCACCTGCTCACGCTCCCTCTCTCTCAGAAATAAATTTTAAAAACATTTAAAAAGTTGAAAATAACCTTACAGTGGCTTCTAAGTGCTTAAGTGAATTTAAGAGTCATCTGTCTCACCTGAAGTCAAAAGCTAGAAATGATGAAGCTTAATGAAGAAGGCATGCTGCAAGCTGGGAGGAGCCGAAAGCCAGGCCTCTGGCACCACACAGCCAAGTTGTGAATGCAAAGGAAAAGTTCTTGAAGAACTTCAAGCGCTACTCCAGTGAACACACAAATGATAAAAAAGCGAAATGGGCGCCTGGGTGGCTCATTCGGTTAAGCCTCTGACTTTGGCTCAGGTCATGATCTCATGGTTCGTGGGTTTGAGCCCTGTGTTGGGCTCTGTGCTGACAACTAGCTCAGAACCTGGAGCCTGTTTCAGATTCTGTGTCTCCCTCTCTCTCTGACCCTCCCCTGCTCATGCTGTCTTCTCTCTTTCAGAAATAAAAATAAAACCTAAAAAAAAAAAAGGCAAAACAGCCCTTTGCTATTACAAAGAAAGTTTTAGTGGTCTGGATAGATCAAACCAGCCACGACATCCCCTTAAGCCAAAATCTAATTCAGAGCAAGCCCTAACTGTTCTGTTCTGTAAAGGCTGAGACAACTCCGGGAGTTTCCAGACAGAAGTTGGAAGCTGACAGAGGTTGGCTCTGGAGGTTTAAGGGGAGAAGCCATCTCTATAACAGAAGTGCAGATGAAGCAGTGAGTGCTGGTGTAGAAGCTATAGCAAGTCGAACGGAAGATCTCGTTAGGATAATTAATGAAGTGGAGGCGCCTGGGTGGCTCAGTCGGTTGAGCATCTGACTTCAACTCCGGTCATGATCTCACGGTTCGTAAGTTCGAGCTGGATATCGGGCTCTGTGCTGACAGCTTGATGCTGCTTCAGATTCTGTGTCTTCCTGTCTCTCTCTCTGCCCCTCTCCCACTTACAATCTCTGTCTCTCTCTCAAAAAAAAAAAAAAAGAAAACCAAAACACTAAAAAAATTTTTTATAAAGGTAATGAAGTGAGTACACTGACTGAACAGAATATTAATATAAATGGTAAAGCCGCCTGTTGGGAGAAGAGGCCATTTGGGATTTGCATTGCCAGAGAGGAGAAGTCACTGGCTGGCTTCAGCGCTTCAAAGCACAGGCTGACTCCATTGTTAGGGGCTACCGCAGCTGGTGGGTTGAAGTGGAAGCCAGTGCTCATTGACTGTTCTGGAAATCTTAGGGCCCTTAAGAATTAAGCCAAATACACTTTGTGCTGCGTAAGTGTAGTAACAAGGCTTGGATGATGATGTCTGTTTACAACACTGTTTACTAAATACTTTAAATCCAGTGTTGAGGCCCACTGCTCAACACTTTTGAAAATTTTCTTTCAAAACGTTACCGCTCCATGACGATGCACCTGGTCCCCCCAGAGCTCTGACGGAGTTGCCCAACGGGATTAGTGTTGTTTTCATACCTGCTAACATAACATCCTTTCTGCAGCCCACGGATGGATCAAAGGGTAATTTCAATTAAAAAAATTTTTTTTTGTTTAATGTTTATTTTTGAGAGAGGGAGAGACAGAGTATGAGCAGGGAAGGTGCAGAGAGAGAGGGAGACACAGAATCTGGAGCAGGCTCCAGACTCCAGCTGTCAGCACAGAGCCTGATACGGAGCTTGAACTCAGGAACCGTGAAATCATGACCTGATCCGAAGTTCAGATGCTTAACCAACTGAGGCACCCAGGCACCCCTACATTTTGAAGTCTTATTATTTAAGAAATATGTTTCATAAGGTTCTAGTTGCTCTAGATAGTGATTGCTCTGATCTGGGAAAAGCAAATTGAAAACTTTCTGGGAAAGATTCACCATTCTAAGTGCCATTAAGAACATTCTGATTCGGGGTGCCTGGGTGGCTCAGTTGGTTAAGCGTCTGACTTCGGATCAGGTCATGATCTCATGGTTTGTGGGTTAGAGCCCCGCGTTGGGCTCTGTGCTGACCGCATAGAGCCTGGACCCCGTTTTGGATTCTGTGTCTCCCGCTCTCTCTCTGCCCCTCCCCATTCACACTCTGTATCTCTCTCTGTCTCAAAAATTAAAAAATAAAAAAAGAAATTGCTACAGCCTTCAGCAGCCCATCACCCTTGAAGCAAGACCCTCCACCAGCAAAAAAGATTACAACTCATTGAAAGCTCAGGTAGTAGTTAGCATTTTTTTGCAATGAGGTATCTTTTAATCAAATGCATGCATTTTAGACATAATGCCAGTGCACATTCAACAGACTGTGGTGTAGACATATGTGTGTTAGGACACCAAAAAATTCATTTGGCTTGCTGTATTGTGATAGTCACTGTACTGCGGTGGCCTGGGGCTGAAGCAGCAATGTCTGTGAGGTGTGCCTGTGGAGGCCTAGAATCTTCACAGGTGTGTTGTATTGGGGAGGCTTGGGGCTGGCCCATACCTTCCCTTCTGATGTAAAGGTCTAGCTTCTGTCAACCCTGAAAATAAAACTGCCAGTGATTTTATCAGCAAAATGAGTTTATTTAGGAATGGCAGAGGAATTTTAATTCAGCATATGCAAGCTATGGTAAAACCAGAGGCAAGCCTGGAGAACGAAGTAGAGGAACATCACTTTATTTTGTGTTAAAGCTTGTTTGTTTATTTTGAGAGTGCACGCGCACACAGAAGAGGCAGAGGGAAGGAAAGAGAGAATCCCAATCTCTGCACTATCTGCAGGGAGCCCCATGTGGGGCCTTCACTCATAAACTGAGATCATGACCTGAGCCGAAGTTGGATGCTTAACTGACTGAGCCACCCAGATGCCCAAGGAACGTCACTTTATAGAGAAAAAGGAGTAAACTGGAAGGGGCTGCTTTGCAGGAAAATCTGTTAGGTGAAAGTGATGGTTCAGTGTGGTGATGGCTTCTCATTGGCTGAGTTGTGGGAGTTTCTCATTGGGCTGGAGAAAAATCTTGCTGGGGTAGTAATAGTGAGCTGTTTTCTTTGGGGGTCTGCAGTTGACAGAGAGATGGTGGGTCATGAGAGTGCCCCCTCAGGGCTTCCTGGTTTCATTTCAAATAAGGTTTCCGTGTTCAGTTTCTGAGTTCTGGACAGCTGAGCAACACCCTGGGTAGTGGGAGCCTGAGATGCTGAAAGTCTAGAGTTGAGGAAGAGGCGTGGTATGCGGAGGTAGAGCTTGGTGTCCAGGTCCGAGTGAGGTCTGGCACCGCACAGGGAGCCTAAGAAATATGGTGACCTGGGCCAGAGAGTACTTGGCTTGACTTGAGGGCCAGAAGAGTGGTGTCTGGGTGACAGTCTCAAGTCTGGCCTAGAACGCCGGGGTTAAGGAATCTGATGACCCGGGTCAGACTGCGGGTGGTAGGATTTCGAGGAGTAAAATCCAAATCTGCGTCCCAGTATCTGGGTGTGTGGTGCCCCAGCTCTGAGCGCAGGTCTCTCCTCTGCCCACTCTCCGGCTCCTGCAGGAGGAAGAGGACCTCCCCTATGAGGAGGAGATCATGCGGAACCAGTTCTCGGTCAAGTGCTGGCTCCGCTACATTGAGTTCAAACAAGGTGCCCCGAAGCCGAGGCTCAATCAGCTGTATGAGCGGGCCCTGAAGCTGCTGCCCTGCAGGTGGGCAACGTCCCGCTGCCCTGCCCAGCCCCCACCCTGCCTAATCCTGCCGAAACGGGACTGGCCAGTAGGTCCCAGCTGATC